CAACAATGAGGGCCCTGATGACGACGACGGCGACGACTACGACGAAGACGAATCGGATGAACGGGCGGCCACCCGCCGCGGCAGAAGCGGACGGCCGGCCGAGGCCGCGGCAAACGCCCAAGAGATCTACGCGGCGGCCTCTGCTGAGAGAAAGTCTGCGCTGCAAGGCTCTTCTCAGCAGGGGCACCCGGGTGCCTCTGCTGAGAAGGCGCGGGCCTGATCCTGGGATCGCCCGCTGGGCGTGATGAGACGACGCCCTCCAAGTAGAGCTTGTTTCATCAGGGCCAGATGACGATCCCAGGGTCAGACCCACGTCCTCTCAGCAGAGGCACCCGCGTGCCTCGGTGGGAAGACCCCTACAGCGCAAACCTCATCTCAGCAGACGCCGCCGTGTAGATCCTAGACGTTCGCCGCGCCACGTGCTCTCAGCAGGGCCGCTGGGTTGGCCTTGCCGAGAACGTGTAGAATGCGGCAAACGCCTAAGACCCCAGGGGCAGGGGGCTCGATCGGAAGCGAAAAGCTGTTAGTGTTGGCTGTATCTTCTGTTGAAATACCGATGCCGATCATGGCTTGGTACCGGTACCTGTACCGGCATCGGTACTGGTATCGATAGCGATGCTGGTACCGACAGGCGCATAACCGTTCTTAGCATCAACATTCGCACAGTCCAAGGGGGCCCTGCTGGAGTCTGGAGGAGAGAGGGGGCTGCAAGGAGGAGCAGGAGGAGTATGGGGGAAGATGGAGGAGGCAGCAGCAGAAAGAGGACCAGGACAAGGATGGTGACGAGGCGGAGAAGCATCACCAACATACCGATTTATAGGCTCAGTCCAGCATCCCCGACAGCGATTTTGAGCCAGGGTGGCTCCAAACATTGTTTGCGCGTCCACCGAATCATCGTCCTCCCGCCCCTGATTTGCCTGCGCCCTTGTCATCATCACAGTCGTCGTCATTGCTGGCATCGTCCTCTTTGCCATGCTTCTTGCCCTTTCCCCCTTCCCAAACCTCCTTCTCCTCCCCCTCCTTCTCCTCCCCCCGTCATCCCGTTCCTCTTTCTCCTCGTCTTTCTTCTTCCTCGTCCTCTTATTTTCCTCGTTATCACCATCGTGTTCCTGATGTTATTCCTCCTGGTTCTTCTCGCCCCACCTCGTTCTCCTGGTTCTCCTCCTCGCCCTCGAAGTTCTCCTCTCGCTGGAGATTTCAACGTGTACCAGGGCGTGTCCGAAATTCATGTTCTCGCCTCGGCGCCGGCTAACTGCCCCCTCGGGGCAGGGGCGCCTGGACCCCTCCTGGGGCACAACTCGATATTAGCAGTGTAGTGTAACAGGAAGCTTGGGCCTGGCCCCATCGGAGCCCAGTTGTGAGGATGTCTCAGGCAAAACTGACTGGACTACCTCGTGCGCGGCATCTCGGAGCCCTGAGTTGCGAGGAGGTCTCAGGCGAAATTGGCCCGACCATCTCTGGCGCGGCATTTTGGAGCCCAGAGTTGCGAGGATGGATCAGGCAAATCTGGCCGGAGTACCTCGAGCGCATCATCTCTGTGCCCGGAGTTGCGGGGATGCATCAGGCCATATTGGCCAAGCGACCTCGGGCGCAACATGTCTGAGCCCAGAGTTGCGAAGATGTCTCAGGCGAAAATGGGCCAGATCACCTCAAGTCAGGAGCATCTCTGAGCCCAGAATTGCGAGGATGTCTCAGGCGAACTGGACCGGACAACCTCACGCGTCGCAATTTCGAGCCCAGAGTTGTGAGGATGTCTCTGGCGACATGGGCCAGATCACTTCAGGCCACAACAGTTCAGAGACCAAAGTTGCGAGGATGTCTCAGGCGAAACGGGCCCGACCACCTCGCACGCGGCATCTCTGAGCCTGGAGTTGCGAGGATGTCCCAGGCGAAACAGGCTGGACCACCTTATGTCAGAGTATCCCTGAGCCCGCGCGCGACTTCTTGGAGCCCAGAGTTGCGAAGATGTCGCAGGCAAAATTAGCCGGACCGCTTCGCACGCGGCATCTCGGAGCCCAGAGTTGCGAGGAGGTCTGAGGCGAGTTTGACTGGGCCACCTCGCGCCTGGCATCTCGGATCTCAGAGTTGCGTGAATGCCCCGGGCGAATGGGGCCAGACCGCCTCAGGTCAGGACATATCTGAGCCCAGATTTGCGAGGATGTCACAGGCGAATCGTTCCGGACCAACTCAGTCAGAGCATTTCCGATCCCAGAGTTTCGATGATGCCTCTGGCCAAACGGGCCCGACCACCTCGCACGCGGCATTTCTGAGCCTGGAGTTGCGAGGATGTCCCAGGCGAAACAGGCTGGACCACCTTGTGTCAGAGTATCCCTGAGCCCACGCACGACATCTTGGAGCCCAGAGTTGCGAAGATGTCGCAGGCAAAATTAGCCGGACCGCTTCGCACGCGGCATCTCGGAACCCAGAGTTGCGAGGAGGTCTGAGGCGAGTTTGACTGGGCCACCTCGCGCCTGGCATCTCGGATCTCGGAGGTGCGTGAATGCCCCGGGCGAATGGGGCCAGACCACCTCAGGTCAGGGCATATCTGAGCCCAGAGTTGCGAGGATGTCACAGGCGAATCGTGCTGGACCAACTCAGTCAGAGCATTTCCGATTCCAGAGTTTCGATGATGCCTCTGGCGAAAATGGGCCAGACCACCTCGCGAGAGGTATCTCGGAACCCAGAGCTGCGAGGAGGTCTCAGGCGAAGTGGGCCCGAACCACATTAATCCAGGACATATATGAGCCCGGATTTGCAAGGATCCTCAGGCGAGCCGGGCCGCACCTCTTCGCGCGCGGCATCTGGGAGCCCAGAGTTGCGAAGATGTCTCAGGCGAAATTGGCCAGACCACCTCGCGCGCGGCATCTCGCAGAGTTGAGGAGAATGTCTCAGGCGAGAATGTCTGAAATAAGCTTTTCCAGATCACCTCGCGCTCGGCATGTCTGAGCCAAGAGTTGCGAGTATGTCTAAGGCGAAACGGGCTGGACATCCTCAGGTTAGGGGCATATCTGAGCCCAGAGTTGCGAGGACGTCTCAGGCGAAATGGACTGGACCACTTCGCGCGTGGCATTTTGGATCCCAGAGTTGCGAGGATGAGTCAGGCGAAATGGGCCAGGCCACATTGCCCCTGGCAGCTCGGAGCCCAGAGTTGCGAGGAACTCTCAACGCAACGCAACGCAGCGCAATGGGAAGTGACGCAACAGAAATGCAATCCCATGCGTTGTAATGCAATGCCATGCAATGCCATGCAATGCAACACAATGCAATGGCATTCCATGCAAGTGCAATGCAGCATATGCAAAATGCAAGTGCAGATGGGCATGAGACTGAGGCTTCCACTGTGGGGGATGCGGGATAAAAAGAGAGAGAGAGAGAGAGAAATAGAGATAGAGAGAGAGAGAGAGAGAAAAAGAGAGAGAGCGAGGGAGAGAAGGAGCGCGATGAGGAGGATGTGGAGTTGTTTTCCAGGTCTCTCCGTGCAACTTGGCATGAACCACAGTGCAACACCAGTAGCAGGAGGCGGGGCTGGCAACAGGATCAAGCACATCGGAAGCGAACTTAGCAGGAACACGACGAGGGCCGCCGAAAGCCGCCGAAGGCCGCCAGGGGCTGCCGAAAGCCACCGACGGCCGCTGAAGGCCGCCGAAGGGCGACGAGGCAGAGGAGGGGGAGGAGGAGGAGGAGGAGGATGAGGAGGAGGAGGAGGAGGAAGAGGAGGAGGAGGAGGAGGAGGAGGAGGAGGGGGGAGGAGGAGGCAGGAGGAGGAGGAGGAGGAGGAGGAGGAGGAGGAGGAGGGAGGAGGAGGAGGGAGGAGGAGGAGGAGGAGAGGAGGAGGGGGAGGGGGAGGAGGCAAGGAAGAGGAGGAGGGAGAGGACGAGGTGCTAGTAGGACGTGAAAAGAGGAAGGAAGGGGAGGAGGAGAGGAGGAGGAAGTGGAGGAGGAGGAGGAAGACGACGAGGAGGAACAACAAGACCAGCAGCAGGAGGCGGAGCTGACAACTGGATCAAGCACATCTGGAGCCCACTCAGCAGAACAGAAGCCCACTTAGCAGGAACACGACTTATAACTAGACACAAATAACAGGACTTCCCATATTCTCCTATTTTTTTTTGGTTTTTGTCTTCCCCCCCACTTCCCATATTTCCCCATATTTTCTGGGGATGCGACGATTAATTGTGTCTGTGTGTTTCTTTTCCTCCTGAATGATGTCCCCCCCCCCCCAGTCATGACCCCCCTCGTGCAGTGGAAGAAAACACGGCAAGAGCATCAAGTGTTGGCGGTCCGCGCGGACCCCTTGGATCTGAGCTGGACCCCCCCTCCCTTGCGCGCGGGGCGGCGCCGGAGGCGCCGCCAAGGGGACCCGGCGCAGATCCAAGAGATCCGCGCGGAGCGCCACAAGCTTATGTTTATCGCGATGTTCCTGCTCCGAGATCTCCCCCCCCCCACCTAGTCACCACCCCACTCTGGGCCGCCCTCGGGGCCCACCTCCCCCTGGCCATCGCTCGGAGGTCTATTCCCTGTGCTTTGTTTTCGGTGTCGTGCGTGGCTCCTTCGCCAAGTGATCAAGGAGGCTCCTCGACGGTCCTCGCCGAGGAAAACATGCACACGTCCGAGCGATGCCGAGCCTTGAAGTCGGGCCTGTCCCCCTACAGAGGGATTTTCTACGAAAAATGAAACGTACCGCAAGACTACCCCCAAAAAGGCAAAAAAATACTCAAAACAGAGTCCCCAGACTCTTTTCGGACTCTTTTTTGACTTTTTGTTGGGGTATCTTTTCTATTTCTCGTCGAAAATCCCCCTGTATGGGGGACAGGCCCGACTTAAGCCAAGCCCCCCAGCGCTGCCCCCAATGCCCCGGGCGAGAGGAGGAGGAGGAGGAGGAGGAGGAGGAGGAGGAGGAGGAGGAGGAGGAGGAGGAGGAGGAGGAGGAGGAGGAGGAGGGGGCGGCCCCCCGGCGAGGCCGCCGGGCAGGGACGTTTGCCGGGGCGCGCGCCGCGGGCCTCCGTCGCGCAGCCAGGGTTCTTCACCTCGGGGGTGTGGGATGCGCCGCAGGGTCCGAGGCTCGAAAGCTGGCCTGATTACCTACCAGACCACCCCAACCCACCCCGAAGACCCGAATTTCAGGTTGGGGGGGGGGCACGGGTTCCATGTGTTTTCTCCATGTTTCCCGACCCCACCCCCCACTGGAAAGCGAGGCTAAATCTGAGCCTTCGGGTCGGGTTGGGGTGGTTTGGCGAGGGCTGCTAAAACCGTGGCTGCTAAAACGGCCCTCCTGGAAAGAAAAAGCAACTTCCCGGAACGGGGCGGGGCACGCGAAACAGTCCACCGGCTGCTTCCCGGAAGGACGGAGACAACTTCCCGGCGATCGATTTTGGCAGCCACGGATTTAGCAGCCCTTGCACGGCTTCCGAGAGGCGCAGCGCTGCGGGGGGGGGGGACAGACTTGGGCCGGGCATGTCCTCCTACAGGTGGTTTTTGGAAGGAGAGCAAAAGTAGCCCAGAGGTGCCCAGAAGGGGATCAACAATAGTCGAAACATCGTCACAGACGAACCTTGAATCGGCGATGCATCGCCGACAGATCGGCGATATGCCCCCGATGTTGCATCCGCACGATTCTGGGCGGGGCGGGATGTCAGGTCCCCATCGGCGACCAGTGTGAGATTAAGGGTCGATGCAACCCCCCTGAGCCTGTCCCTCCCAAACCTTGCCCTCCTCCTCCTCCTCCTCCTCCTGCTCCTCCTCCTCCTCCTCCTCCTCCTCGATCCTCGCCTCCTCGATCCTCGCCTCCTCGATCCTGGATCCTCGGTCGTCCACCTCGATCGTCCTCCTCGCCCTCGGGGGCAGCAGGATCACCCATGCCAAGCCAGAGGCGCCCCTCGCAGACGAAGCGGGACGCACTGAGGGAAGAACTCGGGCAGGGCAGGGCCGTTCCGAAATCGCCCAGGGCTGGTCAGCAGGCGACATCATCTTTCGAAGATTGACGAAGCAATCTTTAGCACAACGCCTTCTGCGAAAGCTGCCAAGGGAACTCTGCGTGCGCACGGCACCGCACTCGGAAAGGACCCCAGCGGGGTAGCGAGTTAATCGACGTCCAAAGACAACCGAATGTCTGGCGAAACGCACGTGGATTAGCAAAACCAGCCAAGGACTGCAATGACACACTCGTCTGCCAATGTCGAGTGGATCCGTGCAGATTTCTTCAATCGACTTGTCTTGGCGGGCGTTCTCTTGATCCCCGATATTTAGGCGTGTCGGGGTGCTTTCTCCTCCCGTGGATCGGCGGCGAGGTGGGGAAGTGAGAAGGGGCAGGCCTTCTCAGAAGGCTCGGAGATCCCTCGGCTTTCTGAACCGTTTTCGAAGTCTTCCCCGAAGGCACAGAAAACCACCCAGAAGGTGCGAGGGCTTCTGGGAAGTCCCTCCGCCTCCTGAGGAGGCCGTCTCCTTCTCACTTCCCCCCCTCGCCCGCCGCCGAGTGGAAGACGAGTGCCAGGACGAGGGGGTTGGCGCACCATGGGCCGAGGTGCGTGCGAGCATAAGGGGGGGGTGAGGGAGGGGGGGAAGTGGATGTGCATAGAGAAGGCATGAGAAGGAGGACCAGTGTAAACCCAAGAGCCATCAACGATGTTGGCATAAACCTTCCCTCCAAGCTCCCTCTTCACAGCCCCCTGCAAGGGTTCACTTCCACCGAGGGAACTGCCTCGTTGGGAGACATCCGTTTCAAGACCCTGAAGCATGCCAAAACCTCGTTCTCGGGATTTCAACGCCACGGATCAGCCCGACTGTTGCGTCTTGACGATCCTGAGTCGTGCCAGAACGCCGTTCCTGGGACTTCAACACCGCGAATCAACTAACTGTTGCACCCTCATAATCCTGAACCCTTCCAAAGCACCATGCTGATCATGGGAATCCGTGGAGCTCTTGCAAACTCTTAAAAAAGAATGTGCGCGGCGCTACGGCGAGAACCACATTTTGAAAAAACGCCCTCAATCCGTGAAACTCTTGCACCTGCTAACAACGAATGCACGCGGAGCTAAAGCGAGAACCACAGGTTGAAAAAGAACCGCTCTCAACCTGTGAAACTCTTGCGGTTTTTGAAAACGAATGCGCGCGGCACTAAAACGAGAACCACATGTTCAACAATCCGCCTTCAATCCGTGAAACTCTTGCAGCTGTGTATCACAAGTGTGTGCGGCGCTAAGGCGAGAGCCACAGTTTGAAAGCAATTCGCCCTCAGTATGCGAAATGCTTGCACATGTTGAAAGCGAATGCGCGCGGCGTTATAGCGAGAACCACATTTTGAAAACGTCCCGCCCTCCATCTGCGAAGCTGTTGCCAATGTTTAAGCTTCAGGGTCATAAGCGGTGAGGGAGTCTCAGGCGAAACGCCTGGCCCGCCCTAAAAACTGGCCTCGGGGAGCGACAGGGAGAAGTTACTCATATGAGCAAAAGGAATGGAGGAGGAGGAGGAGGAGGAGGGACACGAGCGAGATCTAGCATATGTCCTTGTCCTGGCCATGGCGCCCCCCGCGCCCTCACCCCCCCCCCTCTCCTGCGCCTGGCGGCCTCGGCTCCTCACTCTGCCTCGGGCCCCCGGCGGCCGCCCTGGGCTCGAGCCTGGCACCCCGGGGACGCTCTCGGTGCAGCGCAGCTGCTGCTGGAAGGCATCCCAAGGCGAGACATCAGACCTGTAAAAGCAGCGAGACACTTCTTGCAAGAACTGCAGTCGGCCCGGATCATGAGGATGCGCGATGGGGATGCAAGGGCCTTGGACGCCCCTCTCGAGGCGTTTCGAGAGGGGCGCGGCCAACAAAAGTGGCCGAGGATGCACCGAGGAGGCAGGGATGCAGGGGTACCCTTGGCAAGGTTGCCCATCCTTACTATGCGGGTTGTCTGTAATAAAAACATCCTCGCCCCCTCCACTCCTCAGGGCGCCCCCGAGCCTTGCACCACGGCTCATACGAACCGGGATCGGCGATGGCGTCGCACGGCACCGCGGGGCAGCCCAGCTGCAGCTCGGCGCAGCCGGGGTCCTCCTCGCTCTGCCACGACTCCTGGCACTCGCAGGGCTCCAGGACCTCAGACGGTAGAACAAAAAAATATAATCATTCAACTTTTTGGCGCTCCGCGCGAATTTCTTGGATCTGCGCTGGACCCCTCTCCCTGGCGCGCGGAGCGCGCCAAGGGGGCGCCGCAGGCGCCGCCGCGGGGCCCAGCGCGGATTCCAGAGATCCACGCGGAGCGCCAAGAAGTTTATGCTCATGCCGTTTTTCTTCCCTTCGATTACACCTGGCGCCTCGAGTTATCGAGGCGGCCTGTTCAATTGCAGGCTCGGGCTCTGGCGGGCAGTCTCGGGCCCCGGGGCCGTCATCAGAACAACGGCTCGGGATGACAGCACTGCTCCCGGGGAAGGCGCCGAGGCCCCGGGCCCGCCGCGCTGCGACGCTGTCGCAGCGTCGGCTGCCTGGGCCTGGGGACCCCGGGGCGCTCGGAGGCCGCTGGGGCCCTCCGCCAGCATCTCCCTGCCCCATGCCCCCCCCCCCTCCCCCGGTGGAGGTGCAGCCGCGTGGGCCGCTCCCGGTGCCCTGCGCGCGGGGCGCCCGCGGAAGCACGCCTCGTGCCTGCGGGGCCGTGGCCCGCCGTGGTTGCGGACGCCCGAACAACGATAACAAACGCTGTCCTAAACCAACAGCGGCCCCTGTTAGGCAGGCGGTCTTCTGTCTGCAGTGGACACGGGCCGCGGCGGAGCGGACAGCGAGGCCTGCTCAGAGGGAACGGGAACTGCTCCTGGGCATTGCACCCATTCTTTCCGTACCCATTTCGTCGTGCAGAGTGGTTAAGGACTAGGAGGAGGAGGAGGAGGAGGAGGAGGAGGAGGAGGAGGTGGAGGGGGAGGGGGAGAGGAGGGGGAGGGGGAGGAGGAGGGGGAGGGGGAGGAGGAGGAGGAGGAGGAGGACAGGAAAGAGGAGGATGATGATGAGGAGGAGGAAGAGGAGGAGGACTGGGAGGAGGAGGAGGAGCAGGAGGAGGATGGTGCAGAGGAGGGCCTCGCACTGCTCGGAGCACCGCCCGAACATGCCGGGCACGTACTCTCCATCGTTAACCGCGGTGGCGCACCAGCTGTAGGTGCTGTCCGCGGTGGTGCACGACCTGTGAATCCTCCCGCCGTAGACGAAGGGAAACGTGCACTCGACGCCCCCGCCGACGCCCTCCTCCCCGACGGTTTCGCACCTCTTGGCATCCTGGGTGCCGTCCCTGTCGACATCGTCGTCATAACCCGCCACCGCGCCTGCAACGGCCATCGTGCGTAAGCCCCTTCTGCGGCCTTTCGCTGAGAATGTTCGCAGCGCCACTGCAACTCTGAAACCAAACATGTGGACGCCTCACCTTTTCTTCTGCCGTTCCCGCCAACTGTCGAAGGGCCCGCCGCCGTTTTACCCCCGGCAGCTTCCGCCGAGGACGAGACGGCGCCGAGGGCGAGACCCTTCTAGAACGCCCGCTGTATTGTCTCCGAGTTGGCGGCCGACAAGAGTCTCCCACTGGGCGTAGTAGGTGGTCTAACGAGTTGTTCCTCTCCTCTTCCAAAACCCTCTTCCCTCCAGGTAGGGGTACCCTCCCCCTCCACTCCCTAAGGTGTGGTGGGGGGATTCGCGAGGTGGCTGAAGGTCCTTTCTCGCCCAATGCGGCTCCAAGAGGGTCTCCGATGCTCCAAGATGGCCTCCGAGGCGTCTCAAGGCAGCCACAGGTAGCTTCCGACATGCATCCAAGAGGCGCCGAGAGGGCCACAAGACTGCTCCAAGTGCTCTCGGAGCCCCCTCAGGACGCCACGAAGGTGCCAACATCAATTAAAACATACACCACCTGGTTTGGAACATCTATGATGTTCCATGTATCGCATGTTCGCTGCCGATGCGCTTTCGATGCCTCAAGATGGGCCCACGAAACACCCCCAGGCGGCCACAAGGTCGCCCAATAGCGCCCAAAGAGGACCGCAAGAAACGGTGATGAGGGTTCGCGTTGGGGAGCCTAGGTAAGGGACCCCCCCCGTTGTGATGGATGGCCTCCAAGATGAGATGTCCCCAAGATGCCCTCGACGGCTCCGAAGAGGCCCAAAACAGGGCTCCAAGAGGGCTCCAAGAGGCCCCAAGGCACCCTAAATGAGTCCCGAGGACACCCCGATACCCCCCAAAAGAAACCCAAGAGCGCTTCGAGATAGCCCCTCGAAGACCGCAAAGGCCTCAAAAGGACCCCCAAACGTCCTCGTCCTCATCCTCCCCGTCCGCGTCCTCCTCGTCCTCGTCCTCATCCTCTCCTCCTCTTTCTCCTCCTGCTCCTCCTCCTCCTCCTCCTCGTCATCCTTTTCGACGTCGTCCTCATCCGCGTCCTCCTCCTCCTCTTCCTCGCCTTCGTCCTCATCCTCGTCATCCGTTTCGTCCTCGTCCTCCTCTCCTCCTCCTCGTGCTCGTCTTGATCCCTCCCCCTCGTCATTTGCCCTCGTCGTCCTCCTCGTCCTTGCCCGTAGCTTCCTATCATTATGTTGCTCCTCCTCCACCTCCTCCTCGTTCTCTCCTCGTCGGCCATACCCTCCCCCTCCTCCTCCTCCTCGTCCTCCTCCTCCTCCGCCTCCTCCTCATCCTCCGCATCCTTCTTCTACTCCGCACCTTCGTTCTCGTCGTCGTCCTGTAACTCATTCTCCTCCACCTCCTCCTCCACCTCCTCCTCCTCCTCCTCCTGCTCCTGCTCCTCCTCCTCCTCCGCCTCGGAAGCATTCCTCTCCCTTCGGGTCGTCCGAATCCATGCTCCTCTCCTCCTCCTCCTCCTCCTCCTCCTCCTCCTCCTCCTCCTCCTCCTCCTCCTCCTCCTCCCCCCATCCTCTCCAAGGCCCCCCTCCTCTCCTTCCCAGGAGATCCTCGGTTCACCCTGGTTGTTCGCTTAGCTTTGCGAGAAGTGCATGGTGTCATCTGCTCCCGACAGCTCTTATGGGCATCGTCTCAAAATGGGTGCCAAGGCAACGCCAAGCTGGCAGGTGACATCATCCCACTCGTCGTCGACGTCGTCGTTATCATCGTTCCCATCACCATCGTCTTTCTCTCCTTCGTCCTCGTCGTCGCTTCGTCGCCAATGCCGTCCATGGTTGTCCACCATCCCTCTCCAGCGGCCTCCGAACGGGACAAGACAGTTTGTCAATGTCCCTCTCCCGTCACCGATCAAAGAACCTGCTGAATTTCCCAATCTGGGGATTCGTTCCCTCAAGCTTCAATCTTCGCCCCCTCACTTCCAGACTCCTCTTCCTCCTCCTCCTCCTGCTCCTCCTCCTCATCCTCCTCCTCCTCCTCCTCGGAAACATTCCTCTCCCGTCGGCTCGTCCGAATCCATGCTGCCGCTCCTCCTCCTCCTCCTCCTCCTCCTCCTCATCATAATCCTCCTCCTCTTCCTCCTCCTCATCCTCTTCCTCCTCCTCCTCCTTCTCATCATTATCCTCATCCTTCGCCTCGCCACCATCATCATCCTCATGCTGCTCCCAACTCCTACTCGCGTATCGTCGTCCTCCTCCTCTTCCCCGTCCTCCTTCTTATCCCCTCACTTCTGCACGGGTCCCAGAGATGGCCCGAAGAGGCCCTCCAGACCACCCCTTTGCTCCCAGAGATCTCTCAAATTACCACTATTGCCCGTCATGATTCGCTACATGTGCCTCTTCCTAACATTTGCCATCAGCTCTCATGGGCCACGTGCGTCTCACGGGCAGCAATTATGCATGGGCTGGTTCGCAACCGCAAGCGGGCAGTGGCGCAGCGTCAAGAGTCAAACGCCTGATAGGCCTAAATGCACGGGGAAACCGCACAACAGCAGGCGAGCGCGGAACAACTGGTGGGGACGCTTTTTTCGGTCGCGACAGGCGCGGCGTCGGAAAAGGTCGAGCAACGAGCAAGGCCAAAGGTCACAACGCAACTAAACTGGTGGGGACACGCGAAGCGTGAAGAAATATGCTGAACGACAGGACGAATGTTCCGCACCAAAGAAGACCTTTCAATTTCCCAACCAGTGCATGCACCCAGGGGTCCCGACTTCGCCGCCTCGCCGTGTCGCTGGGCGCCCCGTGCTCTGGACAGGCAGCACAGCCTGCGCAGAGCACAGCGCAGGGGAGCGGAGAGTGGCATGCGCAGCACGACTCGGAGGTCCGCGCGGATAGCTCGGATCGGCGCTGGACCGCCCTGGCGGCGCCTCCGGCGCCGCCCCTGTCGCGCTCCGAGGTGGGTCCAGCGCCGATCCGAGAAATCCGCGCGGACCTCCGAGTTGTCACGTTTATGTCATTCTTCGTTCCCCTAGAACTCACACGCACAGCTCACACCGCCTAGCTCACACAACGCAGCTCATGCCAAACAGGTCGCGTCACACAGCCTCAACCACATGGCTCACACCATATAGTTTGCACAGCATAGCTTGCATCACATGATTGATAGCTTTTGCGCATCGCCTCCACCTCCACAGTGCAATAACTTACTGTTTGGATTCCACGGTGGCTTACATTTGCCAGACTGCGGTAGAGAAAAACAAAAAGAGTGGTACCAAGTGTAGCTGCTGCCGAAATGCTGCATCAAGCCCGCCCGCCCCGAATCAGAAAGCATTGCTCCCCCGAAGCCTTGAGACCCCCTCCTTCATACAACGAGGCTGTGAGGTTTGGACCCGTTCAGGACACCAAATCGCTCCCTGGTGCATAGAATAACCTGCAAGTCTGATAAACTCATGCGCGCATCTTGGCAACTGCGTTGGTAACTCTGGTGCCCTGTATGAGCTCCTACATTGCGTTTGAAAGATCGACGGGAGTGGACCGCACGGTACCATTCGAAAGGGTAAGTGCAAGGACAAGATCTGGCATCTGCATCGAAGCGTGCCATTCGCAAGGGAAACAATTCTTCCTGTGGCCCGCATTGTATCATTTGCAAGGGGGGCATACCCCGGACCAAATCCAAATGTGGAATGGCCATGCATGAAGCGCGGAACACTTCGTTCTCACAAACATCCGCTATCGCGCTTGCAGCGATTGGTATGTGTATGTGTATGTGTATGTGTATGTGTGTGTGCGTGTGCGTGTGCGTGTGCGTGTGCGTGCGTGCGTGCGTGCGTGCGTGCGTGTGTGCGTGTGTGCGTGTGTGCGTGTGTGCGTGTGTGCGTGTGTGCGTGTGTGCGTGTGTGCGTGTGTGCGTGTGTGCGTGTGTGCGTGTGTGCGTGTGTGCGTGTGTGCGTGTGTGCGTGTGTGCGTGTGTGCGTGTGTGCGTGTGTGCGTGTGTGCGCGTGTGCGCGTGTGCGCGTGTGCGCGTGTGCGCGTGTGCGCGTGTGCGCGTGTGCGCGTGTGCGCGTGTGCGCGTGTGCGCGTGTGCGCGTGTGCGCGTGTGCGCGTGTGCGCGTGTGCGCGTGTGCGTGTGTGCGTAGTGTGTGCGTGCGTGTGCGTGTGTGCGTGTGCGTGTGCGTGTGCGTGTGCGTGTGCGTGTGCGTGTGCGTGTGCGTGTGCGTGTGCGTGTGCGTGTGCGTGTGCGTGTGTGTGTGTGTGTCGGGCACTTGCTTCGCGAGAAATGATTCAGGCCCCCCGTCGCATCGAGCCCAGGATGCGCATGTTAGTGAAACCCAATCACTGCGCGTTCCGCTGTCAAAGCAAGGCTCTCCAGCCCACAAACAACAAACTCACAACAACACACAGCGGGGGTATAGCCGCGTCCCGGGCCCCCTCCCACCCCCTGGGGCGCGAGCCCTCCCCCCCTCTCCCCCTTGGCTGCCCCCACGACGGCTCCAGAAGGGCCTGCAAGCAAGCCATGCCGTCCCCAGGTAGCCTGCAAGACAACCACGGCGGCCTCCACCGCAGTCCAGGATAGCCTCCAGGATGGCCGCAACGGCTCCAGGACGGCACGACAGGGCCCCAAGACGCCCCAGGATGCCTCTGCTTGACGATTCGATTCTTCGATTACGCCGCCTGCGGCCTGGCTGCGCAGCTTCCCCAAGGGTGGGGGCGGACAAGCGCGGTAGCGCAATCTGATTGTGGTTAAAATAGAGTGGAGCCGAGTGGGGACGAAAGAGATAGGCTAAGAAGATTAGAGAGGAGCAGAGTGAAGTGCGCTAGATAAAGTCGCGTGAAGTGAAATATAGAGGAGTAGAGGGTAGAGTAGACTTGAGCCGAATTGACTGGAGTAAAATCGATTCCGCCGAATAAAGTGGAGGGGGTCGAATAGAGTGCAAGAGCCTTGCCTTGAATAGACTTTGAGTCAACGCTGGCCGATGTCATTACTCTGCCCTCCGATCACACATGGCTTTCACCACGATCGGGTGAGGCGGCACGCCAAGTCCCCCAGGCCCTCAAAACACTCTCCGACACGCTTCAGGGGCCCCATGGGCAGGCTCCCGACGAACCCCCACCCACTTCAGACCAGCACTGCACAACGCAACTCAGCGCCTGCCACGCCACCCCATGGACGTGCACCGCCACCGTCACGCAGCGCTGCAACCGTGCAACGTCACGGTCGTGCTGCGCTGCCTTCCCAGGCTCGGTGGCGGACGTGTGCGACAGCACGACCGGATACAGGAGGTACTCCAGCATCACGAAATTCGTCCTGTAGACCGCGTTCCGGCCGTCTGCGCCGCACTGGAGCGAGGGCTCCGCTCCCTCGAATGGGCAGGCAGTGCCGCACTCGGAGTCTTTCAGCCTCGTGGCCTCGTCCGGGAGGAAGTCACCACAGCGGCACTGGCCGGACTGCACGGCAGCATAAGTAAAACCTTCGCACGCATCCACGCAGGTGGTGACGCTGAAATCCTTACCCATGTACTTCGCCCTCTTCATAGAAGAGCCCCCGCCGCATGCGCAGCATGCTGTCGAGGCGTCATGCCCTTGGCCTGACCAATTCGAAAAGTCTCCCATCTGCGGCAGCCACCCAGAGCCGTAGCCCCCAGACCTTGTGCAGTACTCGAGCTCTGCGTAGTCGGTGCAGGGCTTTTCGAGCTTGTCTCTCCAGCCCAAGGGGCTGTCCACACAGTCGTCCAGGTCGAACATCTGGTCCAACTTGTGGAGGAAGCATCCGGCCCACGAGGGAGGCTGGTCCAGCTTGGCCGCGACAGACACGGGGGGGCTCTTGTGGTCCATCCACAGCGCGTAGAAATCGACATCCACCAACAAAAACCTCTCTTCACCGGGGCCGCCGGTGCTCACGTGCCGGGCCTGCACCTCGAAGGCGCGACGCAGCTCGTTCCACTCGTAAGACAAGAAGGCGCAGGAGATGCTGGAGGCATTGCCCCCCGCGGTCTGCAACAGAAGCACGCCGTCCTTCTCGCCCTTGCGCCCGACCTGTAACAGGAAAGTGCCGACTCCAGTCCTCATGACCTTCATATTCCCTGTGCTGCGGTACGGCACCCCCGTCATGCCATTCACCCACGCAGCGTGGAGGCGAATCGTCCCAACAAACGGCACGACGACGAATGCAAACATCGACTCCTCGGGAAGCGCAGAGTGCCCGCTCGAGGGGTCGTTGTCCTCGTGCACCTTCACTCGCCAACCCGGAGGGTCATCCATGGGGCGCACCCCGACGGTGTTGAGCTTATTGTTGCTCCGCCCGGAGTCGGTGGCGATGGCGAACAGCATGCCGTCTTCGTACCTCCCCAGTCCTCCCCTGCCGCTCACGACTGCGTGATCGCCGTACATCTCGTGCCCGAAGACCCAAGTGACGCTCCACCCACTCTCGAAGTCCGAGGAGTGCGAGTCGCTGTCCTCCCATGTCCCAGCTACTGTCGACACAGCGTGCTGTGGGGTCTCTGGCGCAGCCACGTATCCGGACAAAAAGCCGGCGGCGTAAGGAATCCACGCGACCGCCACGTCAACATCGCCCTCTTCCTCGTTTCCCGCCTTGCCCACCGCGATGTCGCAGTCCCCTTCCCCGAAGGTGCCGTCCACCATGGAGAATCCTCGCCATGAGAAAAAGGGGCCTCAAGAAAAACTGGGGCCTGGAGACCCTGGGGCTTTCCCCCCCGATCGGCTTCTCATCCGGGAGATCGTCTCCTGGAGTAGCCCCAGGGCCCCAAGAGAGGGGGCTCCGAGTGGCCGCAAACGGGGAAGATGCCGCAGAATCCATTTCCCTCATGACCCTTCTCTTCTCTTCATGGCGAACTCCTAGGCCCCCGCTGTTGGTGGCGGCGGCAACGGTGCCGTAAAACGTGGCGCCAGCGCCGTCGTCTTGGCCATTCTTCGCCACCGTTGCGAGGACGACACCGACCCTGCGGTGGGGCCTCCACGCCTGTCCGGTATTACTGACAGTGACCCTGGCCCACAATGTCCCCAGGATTTCCGGGGAGGCCCCGGTGGCTTCCAGAGCACCCTGGGGACCCTCGCGTACACGAAATTGATGCTGGATTATTCTCAATGGCTGTGTAACTGTTGTTCCCCCAGGGGGGGGGCGGGGGCTGGGGCCCGGGGTAGCGGTAACGCTTGGGCGGGGTGGGGCACGTCGGGGCGGGGGCGCGCTGCGATCGCCAAGAGTATGCGAGCAAACGCCAGCATGTGAGGGGGTCCTGGCCACTCCCTTACGCACGATCGTTACCGCCACCTGGAGGGGGGGGGGGGGGCGAGGCTGGGTAGCGGCAGCTACGCGCCAGAGGATTAAAAACATGTCGACCTGGCGCGAAACGCTGGGGACACCTCGGGCCAAAAACACCTTCCCAGACATGCGACGTCCGACGGCCCCGAGGTCTGGCGAGGGCCCCCCGGGGCCGAAAGTGCCTAAACATCTCCCGTCCTTGTATATACATTTATATATACATATATATATATATACATATAAAATAAAAAAAGGAGTACTACTACTACTACTACTACTACTGCTGCTGCTGCTACTACTACTACTACTACTACTACTACTACTACTACTGCTACTACTGCTGCTACTACTACTACTACTACTGCTACTACTACTACTACTACTACTACTACTACTACTACTACTACTACTACTACTTCTAAAAATACGAATATAATATAATAATAGTAGTAATAATAAATAGTAACAATAAGAAGGATACTAATAATAATGATAATAATAATAAAACTAAAAATAAAAATAATAATAATAACAATAATAATAACAAGAATAATAATAATATTATTATTAATAACAATAGTAATAATAATGCTCCGCGATCATGTCTGGGTTGGGCAATTCCCGAACCTGCACGGGGTGGTCGCGCACGTGCACCGGGGAGCTGCCGCCGGGCTTCGCCTGAATGCCCAAGTTGGTCTGGGAGGCCGGCCACCTCGGCCCCAGCCTGGGCGCCAGGTCGCCATGGTTGAACCGCGAGACGCTCCACGGCAGAGGGCCCTGGTGAAGGATGTCCACCACGATCTGGTCCTCGTCCCAAAGGGGGGCCCTGGAGGCAACAGGACCACTTCTCGACCAGCCCCGTTTGGCACTCTTTCTGCTGGTTTTCAGTCCTGTCGCCGTTCTTCCAGTTCCGGCTCGAATCTCAGAGCGGTGTTTTTGTCGTTGTTTCCGGGGGACTTACTCATCCCTCGCAGCGCCTTCCAGCCTGCTTGAAACCTCTGAGGCCTGCGGGCCACACCCCCCGACACAGACCGAATTAAGGAAAACGAAAGTAAAACCTCAGATGGCTGAGCCTGGCCGGCTCCGCAGGCGGGCGCGCGCGAAACACTGCAGACGCGAACCCGAGGAGGAGGAGGAGGAGGAAGAGGAGGAGGAAGAGGAGGAGAGGAGTAGGAGTAGGAGTAGGAGTAGGAGTAGGAGTAGGAGTAGGAGTAGGAGTAGGAGGGGGTTGAATGGATGGGACGTCATCATCATTATCATCATCATCATCATCATCATCATCATCATCATCATCATCATCATCATCAGAATCGTCATCATCAACACCACCATCATACTCATCATCATCAGCATTCGCATCATCAGTATCATACCCAACATCATAGCACAGCATATCACATAATAGCATAATCTAGCACGCCATAACAAACCATTGCATAACATACAATGCCCAGGCATACCATAGCGCTACATAACATAACATAACAAATCATAACTTGAGGAGGAAGAGGTGAGATAATTCCTGTGGGCGTTCTTGGCGCGGTCGGAGTAATAAGAAGGACTTCATCCTTTGGATATGGGATGAATCAATGTTGACGTTTTGTTATACAATGTTTCAGGTTCAAAAAATCATATACTGCAGTCTCCAGGGCCAACTATCGGGGGCGTGCACACATGGATTAGCGATCCATGGATCTGGCGCGCGGTTGCCAAGTCCATGGGTCGGGAGAGGTGCCTTTTTTACAAGGCGGCCAGTGCCGCCTCGCTAGGCGACGGGAATCCCCGATTTCTCATGGAAACGGGACCTATCGCTAATCCACGCCCCCTTGATCAAACCGTCTGCGATCGCCTGAAAAGCGGCCGTGCCGTTTCCAGGGCGCCAGCGAAGTCCTCTTCGGCGGCGCCGCCCGCGCGCGACTCGCCCGCGACTTGCATGGAGATGTGCGCCGAGCTGGGGTCAGGCAGCGCCCAGGGCGGGGGCCACCGCTGGAGACGCCCGGAAACCTTCCAAATCCTCGATCCCCCGTCCCAGGCTTGAGCAGGGACCGACGGCCCAGGCATTCCTACGTAGGCCTGCCACGACATGTTTTCAGAACTT